ACACACACACACACACACACACACACACACACACACACACACACACAGTTGGTCTCTTTTTCTCACAGACATGATGACAGTGGGTGTGTCAGGCTGGCAGGTGGACAAAGTACAAGGTCTATGCTCTGTAAGTGTGTGAATTCAAACGGTTAAGGTTAGCACTCCTTTCTTTATGACATGGATGGCAATGTTGGGGGTAAACAAGTACCGTCTGCTCCTATAGGTTCATACAAGGTCACTAGTTGATGTCACTCCAGCCCTTAAACTCATGCTACATGGGTTTATGTGTGTGTGTGTGTGTGTGTGTGAGTGTGTGTGTGTGTGTGTGGGTGCTATGTGAACCACCCTGTCCAGGGATGGGTGTGGACTGAAGTAAATGAGGCAAAAACCAGACCGAGCAGGAAATCAAGTAGAAGGAGTAGCCGCGATGGGAGGAGAATGAAAACAAGCCAAACGGTGGACTAGAATAGGCTTGCATCAAATGAAAGTGGGATGGTACGCTGCTTGAAATAAAGCTGGCAGTTTACCCCCGTGTGGGTGTGGTGGAGCTGCAGCGTTACCGTTCATTAACTGTAGAGAGTAACCTTTATCATTTCAGACTCATCCTCGTATAAACTAATGAGGCAGGCATTAGCGTGCTCGCTTCTGCAACCTGAGCCGATTATCACGTTCCGTTCTGAGTAGGAATGCTCGAGGGAAGAAGAGGGAAGTAGAGAAGTTCAGTGATTACAAACACTGAGGGTTACAACTCGGTTACCTCCTCAACATATTGTGTAGTGTTAAACTCTTCCTGTAGTTTTGCGAGATGCAGGGCAGCTCAAAGGCGCACGTGCTCCGCCGCACTTTTCCACCTTTCTCGTAGGTTAATCTGTGTGCGTTTCTATTAGAGCAGATCTAAATATTTAGCTGGAGATAGGAATCAGCGTCTGCTCAGAAGTTAATCATTAATAGACAAAGTTACAAAGCTGACTTTAAGTCGGGGAGCTCTGGCAGCCACCGTCCTTCTCCAAATATTTACCCTGCTTCGACATAGCTGAGCCGCCTGTGCAGCACCAAACAGATACACAGGCAACGCAAAGGGCTGCACTCTGAGGTTAGGGCCCACAGGTCTAAGGCCAGTGAACAACACCCACACATGCATGTTGCATGGAGACATGCACACACACACACACCACCACTTAGTTTCAGTTCTGAGGCCTAGATGAAAACTTGGTTCAGATTGATTGTCTTGCTTGGGGGTAGATCATCCACATCTGATTACTGCCATGAACATCCTCCAATGAAAAATGGTGATTTCACTCTTTCTCTTGCTATTTCTGGTACAGTAATATTCCCCGCTCTAATTCCCTCAGCATTGACTCTACATGTGTGGTTTAGTTCAGGACACGTGTGTTTTGTTGAGGGTGATCTCCATACGTGAATTTGTATGTATTTTTCTGTGTGTGTGTGTGTGTCCCATGTAAAAAGGAGGTCAGAGAGAGAGCGAGAGCGAGAGAGAGAGAGAGGCTGTTGGGGAAATGACTAGGTTTGGGTGTGACCTGCTCAGCTATGCACTGGTGATCATGTGAGACCTGTTCTAATTATACACTTCTCAAGAAGAAGGCCGATCCTCTCTCATGGCCAGAAAGTGTGTGCACGTGTCCAAGAGGGTGCAGTGTGTGTGTGTGTGTGTGTGTGTGTGTCTGCCAGCGTACGGGTTGCAAGACTAGTAATGGGGAGTGATGTGGCTTCATGTAACACAACTAAATTGAGAACTTTCACCTATTTCAACCAATGGACGTGTGTGAAAAGTGGAATAGGACATGTGTGTGGGTCAATGTAAGAGGAAAACATTTCCAATGTTGTGAATGTGTTCGTGTCTATATGTTTGTATTTTAGGTTTTGTTTATGTGCAACTAACTGCCTTTGCTTCCGATTTCCTCCATCCTTCTCTCTCTCTCTCGGTCTGTCTCTCTCTCTCTGTCTCTCTGTCTGTCTCACTGTCTCTGTCTCTCTCTCTCGCACGTTCTCCTGCTGTTTCCACTGCGGGTTTCAGAGACCTGCTCTGTTTTTCATTACCAGTGGAAAAAATGGGGCGTACAGCTAAAAAAAGTATCACCCATCTCCATTAATACACAAGTCCTAGTGGAAAATGAGTCCAAACTACTAAAATAGGCCCCTTGGTTCCCTCAAAAAGCCTCCAGAAATCCGCCAGCTACTCCTTTCCAGTGGCTGACCTTTACCTCAGCGCGAATGACAATTTAAATATACGTTCACGTATCGAGATCCCTCCGCCTGTAGATAAAAGCTCTACTGTGTGGTCAGTGAACATCTACATGTGCTCACTGTATTGAAGTGAGGGGTCCATCACATCTACATATTTAGGAGAACATGTCTCACAGCTTGGGTCTTGTTTGTAGTTATGGCCACCATTACCGTTTGTTATTATATCATTTAAATTCATTTTTTAACATGGCTGAACATGGCGATATCGCTTTAACAAAGTCCAACGGGAAAATAAACAAGTGTTCAGTAGATCAGGTCAGATCACAGGTGGTATCGACTTCTTTACGAGGGGGTACAGCCAAAAATGACCGCATCAGAAGGGTTGGCCTCGTTGCAGAGGAAAATAGTGCACACACACACACACACACACCTATGGTAGTTATGATACATCACCCCATTTATGAACCCGAGAGAGTGATTGTGGCATTGTCCACTGATAACAATGATGGAGGAAACTTTGAAAAGAAATCGAGATGGAATAAACAACAATGACTTAATCTGCGTTGTGATTTTGGCGATCAACGCACGCACACATGCACACTGCGAGGAAACTTGGGGAGATTTCAGCCTGGGCTTGACAATGTTCCTCTGTGCACATCTGGCTAGGAACACTGTTCTCTGAGTCGACTCACACAGGCTGTCCTCATCCTAACCCTGCCCTGTACGCACACTGCCAATGACCACGAGTCACCAGTGTCTGCAGGGGGAGAATACAAACAGAAGTAAAGAACACACACACACACAGCCAAACTTTGTCGTGTGTGTCAACGCTGGAAACTTTGGGTAGAGGTCCGCCCATCTCTAGAGATCTTGTGCTCCGATAAAAAGACAGATTGTGAAAGAGAGAAAGAGCGAGAAAGAAGAAGAGGCGTTTGCTTTTCTGCTGCTGCCTAAAAATGGAAAATTACTGCATACGGTGCCCCAAATCTGCCCCGACTTTGCTCTCAAACACATACGCATATAGAGACACAAGCAAACCCCCTCTAACTGCCCCCAGGCCTCTGCGCAGGAAATTGTTTGACTGAGTGAGAGCTACACGATGACGCTATCGCGTCGCTCCTCTCTAGCTGTTGAAACGTGTTGTGCTCGGGGCATCCGTATGGGTTTGTACATGTGACAGCCTATTCATCTGTGTTCAAACGCCAGCACGCTGCAGTGTTTTTCACCTCCAGAGGAACCGCGCTGATTCAGTCTTTAGTGTTGTTTACGTACACTGTGATCAGTCGGCAATGTGACTCCTCCATGACTGCTGAAATGAGCGCAGTAAACACCCGCCAAAACACTTCGGCCTGTTCTAGAAATTCCACAGTGCAGTGTTACAGCCGCCTGACTTCTGCTTCCTGAATCTAAAACGCTGCAAACCCCCCTCCCTCTGTACCCTTGATCACATGTTACAGTCACCTGACCAGAAATAGGTGGGATCGATGAGAGCACATGCCGTATCCAGATGGTGTGCTCTAGACAGCTGCTATTTCCAGTGTAAAATATATTCTAGCCTATCAGACTATGTGCTCGGTCTCTTATCTGTGGAACAATCTGCGTCTGAGATCTGACCTCCAGGCTCCCTGTTCACCGCTTCTCCCTTCTTACCTTGAGTGAGTCGAAGCAAGCGATGACCCGTCCGTTGTCCACCTGACAGCTCTTGGCCGGGTGGGCGAACTTGCACTCCTGGTCCGAGCGTGAGCACGTGCCCCTCTGGAACTCCCGACACACCTCGAGCGTCAGCCACTTTGTGTCGCGGATGTGTGCCATGTTCATCGCCATGGCAACACGCCGGCAATAAGTTATTCCGAGCCGAAAATCTGTTCGAGCGTGAATAAAAGTACCTCTAGTGTTTTTTTAATCCACAGCTATAAGGTCTTTTTTTGTTTATTTGCGGTGAAAGTCTGTGACGTTGAAATGAAACTTTCAAAAATGAAGTCACTATTGATTGAAAAGGGCTCCTTTTCCCAGAGTGAAATGTTGCAGGACGAATGTTATTGGAGATCTTTCCCACGATCAATCAACCACAGCGGGCGTGTTTGTATCCAGGAGTGCCGATGCCGCTCGTGGGCCTGACTTTTGCCTGCAGAGCGAACTCACCTAAAACATTCACAAGCCGACGAGGCACACCCGAGAGCCCTCTGGTTCGGTGCGGTGGAGCAGGCAACGAAGGTGATAGTCTGGGTGTAGCCTGCTACAGGAAGGTCACGGACGCTGAGGACCGAGTGGAGGCTTAGAGGGTTGAAGGCGGAGGTTAAAAGGCAAGGTGGGTGAGATGCTGCGCGGGCCTGGTGGTGTGTCGGGGCTGCTGTGGTAAGGCTGGTCAGCTGGTGAGCGGAGGCTGGAGCCCCTGCTGCGAGGAGTGGATGGTGATGGCGGAGGATGGACGAGCAGGTCGGAGCGTAGGCTGCGAGGTGGGTACTCGTGTTACCGTGGCAGCAAGCGAGCGAGGCGGCGGGGTGGGGGGGGGAGGGTGGAGCTTCAGCTGTAGAAGCAGGTCGAAGCTGCAGCAGACATCAGGGAAGGCACTTCCTCTGGGGGGAGAGAGAGAGAGAGAAAGAAAGAGAGAGGAGGGAGGGAAAGATTAGGGTTGATGATACGCATCCAAAGAAAGCATTCAGGTTTATTACTCGTTCATTTATCTTTCAGAGGAGCTTCTGACCTGCAGCATTGTTTTTTGCTGCAAAAATGTCAGTAATGCAGGGGTGTCAGCTAAAACAAATACAACTTTCACCCGCCCTGCTCTCTGAACACACATGCTGCTCACACACACTCATCACGCCACGCCAAGCCACGCCACACACACACACACACACACACACACACACACACACACACACACAAAGCAGCCATTCACAACTTTCCACCTCTTCTGGTCAACGCAGGAAAATCCGATCAAATCCCGTATCACTTACAGTCGAGTACAGCAAAGCCGGCCATTGCAAATGTGCTCGGAGGTAAAAGAAAAGGAGGAGAGTGAAAGCGGAGGGGAAGTCGAGGCAGGGCAGGAGGGAGAAGAGGTTAGTCATTTCCCTTCTTGCAAAGCGGTGTGAGAGTGAGGACCAATGAGAGTTTGCAGAGTTGCAGCAACATTCTGGGCCGAGCGCCAGGTGAGAACAGGGGGAGGAGCCAAGAGGAGGCTGACCTGCCTGCTGCTAGAGAGAGAGAGAGAGAGAGAGAGAGAGAGAGAGAGAGAGAGAGAGATAGGCTGAACTAATCATTTTACTCACTATTTCTATCTACCTGATTTCTCGCGAAAAAATGACACATTTCTTTCAACTTTCATGAAAGATCCCAGATAACATTATTGTCCATGAACTCATTTCAATATGTGTAATTCACTCTTAAACCAAACTTCAATCCTCAAATGCGGAAGAGAGTGCTTTTTTACTTGTTTATATACACTTTTGGCCGTGCTTTCTATTTGTGGTGAATCCATTGTGCGGGGGTTTGCTCGGGGAATTTGAATGACTGGGCTCCCGTGGGCCCAGTCGGCTCTTATCTCACAGGCGGGGTAACTCACCACACCCTGTGTAGAGAAATCGCTGTTCCCAGAACAGCATGTGCACCTTCAGCATTGCTCTGAAGCGCTTCTAGCTTTACGGCACTGCAACGCTGCAACACACTATATCAGAGCCCTGCAGCAGTGCAGCCCGGGTCATGATGAGCCAGCAACGTGGATACTGTATATGTTACAGAGTGAAGGGGAGGTAGTTTCACCTTGGGTGACCCCTACAATAGCAAAAGTAGCATTGCTGCTACGAGTGAGCTATGGTGTGCACGCATAACCATAACGCACAAAAACACATCTTCCATATCATTCACTTTAGAGGGTAGACAATAATAATATGACAAAGTGTGGCTGGATTGAATTTTGTGTTTTGAAATTAAATTCCATATTTTTATCTTCATTGCTGTGAAAATGCCGAGTCAGCCAAGTCTAATCTCTCCGTGTAACCCAGCATGCCCTCGGATAATATCATATGGTGTTGACGTTACGCGTGTTTATTGCTACAGCTCAGTCCGATAGGGCAGTTTTACTACCCAAATACACTTTGTATTAAGTTGAGTTCGGGTGAGCAAGGATCATCTCTGAGCTCATCAGACTGAACTCAAGCCACAGCTGGATGAATGTGGCGGATGAGAGAGATATCTGTCATACAATGTCTTAAATTGAAGGTGCCACGGGGCTGTCTTCAATCAAATGAGAGGATGTGAGGAATTGATGCCAGAAAACGCCCCCCCCTCCCCCCGCCCCCCGCTCTGTCTGCCTGCCTTAATCTGTTTCTATGGTTTCTATTAGAGTCAGATGAGCACATATCTTTGAGAGACAGACAATGTGGTATAAGACAGAGCGATAATGAGCGCTCATTATGATCTATCATGCCTGAACATGGGTGTCCTTCCCCTATCGATTTCTTCATCTCCACGGTCTTCCTTGTCAGCATGCCACTCCCTCTATCTAATTCCACTTAACCGTTGGTGCTCTTTGCGCTCGCTGCATCCATTTCCAATAGATGACTTATTAATACCATCTACTTATCTTCTCTAACGACAGAATTTAGACGGCTTTAACCAGTGGATCCTTCTCTGCTTTGGTCGTCTTGTTTTTTTTCCCCACCCTCCCCCAACTCCATGCATGCCTCTCTGCCTTTGCGCCCCTCAATGTGACTGTCTGGCCTGCGTTCTCTTCCAGCATCCTCAGCAGCACTCCCTCAGACTCCAAGGTCTCGCATGCATGGTGCAAGGTCGACCACACTGGAGAGGGAAGATGGCGAGAGAGAGAGAGAGAGAGACGGAGACAGAGAGAGGGACCGTATACTTCCTGTCGACCTTTAGGACACGTGGCAGAAACATTACAAGGCTGCAAGAAGAGGAAGTGTGTGTTTTCAATATCAGCAGATCACCATCACCATCAGCTCACGGTCATGTGACGCCACCTCATGCCTAAATGGCACAAACAGTTACTGACATGAAAAGCAAGCCTGCCCGTCATTCACTTTCTCTTGGTTATGAGTCACAAAAACAAAATCTGTGGCCAACGAGTGAAAGATGTGAATACACGCTTAACTTCCACTGAAAGCGCAAACTATGCACAACTGCCACGGATTTGGACGGTGGACTATGATGGATGACGCACAGACATTAGATTGTTTTGTTGAACACATGAGTTTCGTTATCAAGGCATGTCTGAACCGATTGAAAAAGCTCGAGCTTGTTTCTAACCCGGTCTGGTCTTGAAGTTGTGACTAAATTTTAGAGAATGGTTCAGTTATGGTGGGACTTCCTGAAAAATGGCGAGAGTGGCGCCTTATTAGTCAAGTTTAGCACATCCTCACACCACAGGTCACGAGTAACTGGAGGCTAACTCGTAATCGCATACGAAACAACAAGTTAACGGATGTGGTACAAGTAGAGATTAGGCTGAAATGCTACTTGTTATATCTGATATGGCAACCAAACTAACAAACCACAGCTTCTGGACCGAGCTCCAGTTTTTCCGCTTCGACTGCAGAGAAAGGGCCGTCCGTCTCTTTTTGGCTTGCTGCTGTTCGGTGAAAGGAGTGCTTTCAGCATATCGACAGAGGTGGAGTGAGGGTGACAGTGTGCTGAGACAGGTCATCTCGGTGGAGGACGCTGGAGGAAACGCAACACCCCAGGCCTCAGCTCCTGCCGCTCCATGTATCTCAGAATACAGCTCGTCAATACTGTCCTCACTGACCTTTACATACACTCAGATACACACGAGCACATACATGGACACATGAGCGTGTTAACTGCATTTCTTTTGGTGATGCCACCTTTCATGTTGGTTGAGAGGTCTGCATACAATAAGTAAAAAGGGCAACAGCACACTGCTTCCATTAAAAATAAATGATTAATGCACAATTTATCCACACTTAAGTTTTGGATAAGTATGCTAACTTGAGTACCACCATTGTCGGTATTGTTATTGACCTCCTTGTCGCCATGAGTATCAAGTCGTCGTCTCCTCTCGACTATTAGTTTAACGGACTTATATTTTTAAATAACGTGGTTCTGAAAGTGAGTCTTAGGCGAAGGAACGCGCAACAAACAATGCCTATTGATTCCTCTGAGAGCAAACCTCCGAGAGACAATTAGATCTCTTGTTTAGCATACATGGACGGAGCTATTCACACGCGCACACACACACACACACACACACACACACACACACACACACACACAC